CAAGGTTTCAAACTAAATTATCTATTTCCTCTTACAGAACTGAATGAAACAACGCTGCAGGGATCCAGGTCATCATTTTATATGTAATTGGAGGATTCAATTTTAATGGTAATATTGCAACATTACTTTTGCTTTAGCTTTCCGTAGTGATAGGCTCTCAGCTCTCACATATGGACAACAACACAAATAAATCTGAGATGTGAACAATAAGGTCAGTTCTAAGAACCTTCAGTTTTAGAGTGCACACAACTCGGGGACATTCAAATGACAATAATTCCCATTTTTTCAGGAAAAGCAACATCAAATCGCCCTTACTCCAGGGCTGAAAGAAGGGGAATATGCAATTTTAAATGCTGAAAACATTGTCCTAAACACAGGATTTTATAATCTTGTCCATTATTTCAATTTAGAGATGGGCAAAAGCCAGGGCAAACCATGCTGCTTAATAATGCTATTGATTTCACTTAAAAATTGAACACATTTAAAACATTAGACAATAGATCTTTCTCTTTCTAAGGTATAGACGTAGTTCCCTCTTTAATTATAATTTCATACAATCACAGGATTCTCAGAAATATTTTATAGTATTAAGTTTGAATAGTCAAGTATCTGAGAATCAAACATATACAAAGATTCAAAATGTCAGGCCCTCCCTCTGCTCTGCACTTTGCATTCAGAATGATTACATTAACACGTCATGTACCTGTCTACTAAGCACAGTAGGTTCTTAGCTACAAAGTCATCTTAATTAAGACAGTAGGAGCTCCTTATGTGCAAAAGAAGATGTTGTATGCACAGGAGAAATTCATACAAACGTCATATACTTTACATTTGTTATTTGATTCCTTATAGCTTTAAAACTTGCATTAAGGCAACTTTACACTTCATATACTCTATAATTTATAAACAAAAGAGTGATTCATAAGACTCATGACATTTGTTCCTAGAGCAGTTTATCAATAACTAAATCATTTTTGCAAATACCATTCAATGTGTGAAACAGAAGACCAAGTCATTTGTATACACCATTGAATTAAAATACCTACTGAATGTGTCCCAGTTTCCTCTGGTAGGGTTTTAAAAATGTGGTCCATCTATTTGACCCTCATCAAACTTAACCCAAAATCGCAGACACCCTATAGGGGTAGAAATAGTGTGTGGGTTTTGTTTTTGTTTTTGTTTTTGTTTTGGGGGGAGGGGGGCTGTGAGCCTGTCTTTGAAAGAAAACATACTATTATTTCCTCAAGCAACTA